CCACTTTATAAAAGTCTCCAGTGTCCTAATTACCTGTCTGTCACTTATGGCAGGAAAGGGCTATAATCTCTGATCCTCTCAACCAGAGAAGATGAAACCCACCTCGCAGGCTCCCTCCCAGAAGTTAACCTTGGGGACACCACTGCTGTACAGGTGTCACAGCCCACAACCTGAGAGAGACCGAAAGGGGAGTATGAGCCCGTTCCTAGGAGGACAAACTAGCCCCCTGAGGTAATGTATTACCTTCAGCCCAGCCCAGCCCACCGACCAGTGGAGGCTGACACAGTAAATTCAGTGAGTGGGAAGGGGATCTCAGGCATGGAAGGCACCCACCACGAATCCCAGAGGGGAGAGGCTGCCCACCCTCAGTGGAAACTCACCAGCAGCAGAGCTGCAGGACCCGAGTTTGTTGGTGACAGGAGAGGACCCTCCAATGTCCAACCGCACCCCAGACTGCCCAAGGTGTACACGATCAGAGAACCATCAAGTCAGGCATCTTTACGCGGCCTGTAGATCTTGTTCCCTAATTTCCATTCTACTCTGCAAATGACGAAGTGGTTCCAGCAGCTGCTGCTGCCCAGGCCTGGAGAGGATGCGGTTGGCTGGCTGTGTGGTGACCCAGGAGACTGGCATCTTCTCACATTTACCAGGGGACAACGATCGTGGGGGGTAAACCGTGCTTCCTCCCACTGGTGAGGCTCTCCTGAGTGGGGGGATGAGGTGCCTCTCAGAGGAGTGGGTGTCGGGTGTGGTGGGGAACAGACCATCACTGGGAAGACCAGAGAACGCCAACACCCCCAGGCCCTGCCAATGTGTGCTCCCACCTCAGCACACCAGGGTGGCCAGTGACCTGAAGTCAACCGACTCAAGCTTTGAATACTCTCCCAACAACCAACTGATTCCTTCTCATTCCAGGATAACATCTGGGAAAAAAATAAGAATGGCTGACCCTGGGTAGTTTGGGTCATTCAGGAGTGACCCAGTGCCTCATGACCTGCAGTGATTTGCCATTTCCCCAGAGCTGGAGTTGACTCCTGGACGCAAGGACACCCACATGGAGGGGTGAGCCAGGCTCTCACCATTCAGCCCCCTCCCCACCCCTTGAGGTGCAGATGGAGGGTGAGGGCCTCTGCGTGTCTGATTTCCATCTTTCACGTACACTTTCCTGTCTTGTATCTGGAAAACAACATGCCTTTGCAGCATGTGGGAACGGGAGGTTCCACAGCTCTGAAAGCACGTTCCTCATAGGAATCAGGCCTATTGGATAAAGGTGCTAAAATGCTGTTTTCATAGTCAAATAAGACAAAGGTGCTCCGGGGCCTGAACAGAGGTAAAAAGAGAAGGAGCTACAAGGTAAAGTGCAAGACCGACTATCCCTGCTTGAGAGACTGATCTTTCCTTTAGTTGTAATAAAAAGGCAGCTTTGATGAATCTACAACACATCTCAGAGTAATCCCCACATAGAATTACAGCTGGCACCAGAGCTCAGGAGGGACTCCCTGACCATGTGCACCTTTTTCCTGAGGAGGAAAATGGAAGCAATAATGGAGAATGTGTGGGCTAATGCTCATTATCTGGAAACAGAATTCCAGGCCTGGTGGAAACCTCAGACGTCATAACAAAATTCATCTCTACTGATGTATAGTTGAGGGAACTGAACTAGTCCTAGAAGCTAAAAAGAGGACTTGGCTGAGGTCACAGGCAAGGAGACAAGAGATGCCAAGTCTTCAGACTCCAGAACCTGAGTTCTGCCCCCTCGAGGGCACACCTGAGGACCGGCAAGTGTGCACGTCTGTGATGTCACAGCACAGCATTGCGTGACATCTCCCCAAGAGCACTTGTTTCATTTGAATCTGGCCGTAAGACTATGAGTTGAGCATGAAGACCTCGTCGTAGCCTTCTTTCCACTGAAGAAGCAGAGATTCCTGGTGGGGAACCGAGGTGCCCGGCTTCACAGAACCAGAGCAGCATGGGGCAGTTACGTGGTACTTCCCACATTCCCAGCTCGCCCTGCCCACCTGGAAGGTGAAAGAGCTCCTTCAAACTTGAAGGGGGCCCCCAGGAGGCAGCCTTTCCGCAGCCCAAGCAGATCAAAGATCTCACACCCAGTTCTGTAACTAAGACCTAAAATGGAGTGAATCTGGTCTCTGAGGCCTTATCTCAGTACCTGGTTCCTTCACCCCAAGAAGCAGAAAACCCATGTCCACCAGAGACAGCCCAGGCTTGGGGGTAAGGCTTACCAGAGCCCAAATCTAAGCACACTGGGCAAGTTATCTGGCCTCTCTGACCCTCAGTCTCTTCATCTATAGTACTGGGGTAATGACGCATGATTGCGTGGTGCTTGTCTCCCAGGCTCTTTGAGAATGAAAGGGATGATGCCCCCACCTGTCCTAGCGGGCACTCAACCCAGGCTAAGTCCTTCCTTAGGAGGCTCAGACTAGGGCTCATCACAGCATCCCCCTCATGTCTGCAGGGGTCATTTAGATGGATTCGTTCAGTGGGCATTATTCATTGATTTGTTAATTAGTGAATACTTACTGGAGGCTAGGCATAGAGATAATATGGGAATATTAATATTAATGTGGAGAAGAGACAAGATCCACAGGTCTTGCGGGCCTATCAGTGTGACATTAGAGATGGACAATAAACAAATAATCACACAAGATGCACACATATATGTGCATACTGTACTTTTATGAAGGCTGTGGTGATGGCTCTTTAGGAAAAACAGGAAGAGAGAAAAGATTTAGCAGTGGATCCAGGCTGGCTGTGGTCGTTCTTGGGGAGAGTAACATTTGTCCTAAGATTTGCAGAAGGTGAGTATGGACCAAAGCAGGCAGTGTGTCTGGAAGACAGAGAGCCTGCTCCTTCCCCTTAAAAATGCAAGGGAGATGTGCTGTGAACAAAGCTGCAGAGACAGGTTTTTTAAAGTACTTTTTTAGGTTTCAAAAACTTTTGAAGAAAAACATTTTGTTTTACTAAGCACTTCCTGTGCATTTTTCCACTTGTATGCACATAAATAAACATGTACACATTTTTTAATGAAATAATACTTAACCTTACTAGCTTCAGTAAACTCTGATGCTTTCTTACACTCACACTAGGACACAAAGTTTCTTACAAACTGTAATGGTCAACCAGGCTGCTAACCAAAAGTCAGCACTTCTACATATGACTCCTAGGTCTTGGGCCCCAATAACGTGAAAGCCTAGGGTGGAGATGGAGAGAAGTAATGGTCAGGATAAACATGCCATTGACATCTCTGTCCTCCGTGGAGAGTCACCAGCACCAAGGATGCCTCAAGTCTGAGTCAGTTAAATTTTCGTACTATGGACTTTGATTCCTAGTGGTTATTTATTTTATTGCTCATTAGCAAATCTTATACTCATTTTGCATCTGACCTAATCAGTGCTCGGAATGGTAGAACCTATTCTTTTGTGTTACTCCCATGCACTTTGGGAAATGTCTTTGGAATGAGTATCTTAATTAGCTCCCCAACCTAGGTCATCAGGAGGGCAAAGAGCTTAACAGGAGGACATAAACAGGCAGATCTTCTGATACTGGAACTTTCTATTGTTTTGAGCCACAATAATGTCAGCCAGGCAGACATAAGGAGCTGCAGGGCAGGCAGAGAGGAAGACAGGGCCAGGCACGGCGTGAGGGGGACGCTGGAGGTGGAGTTCCACGGTGAAGCCCTTACTCAGGTGCACTTAGTGGGATTCTGGAACCCTAAAGCAGTGAATGGGCCCCAAGAGACAAGCAGGGGCTCCTGCGTGGGCATAGAACCACCCCACTTTCACATCCTATGAGCTTTCCCTCTAGAAAAAAACACAGAACTATACCAGCTGTGCTTTCAGTCAGCACCCAGGCATTTGCTCAGACCATGGGATCACTGCCCATAGCACTGGGCTTCACACCCTGCCCCAAGCCCTCCAGGCCCAGCTACTCACTTGAACTTCAACAACACAGCACATCTCTGCATTTAGAGTGGGCCAGACCCTTTGGGACTCAATGTCCCCTTTTGGGACTGGATGTTTGTTGACACTAGGCTCGGACAGTCAACCTCACACACTGCTCCTCCTCCTCCGCCCCCCAACCTGGAAGTCCACCCTCTCGGAGGCCTCTGGCTCCCTTCTGGCTGGTCCCCTGGGGAACCAGTTAGGGCCATCAGCTGCCAGGGCACCAGTGAGCACTTACCCTCTGTCCTGCCTGAAGGGTTCAGCCTCGGGCAAGTTCACTACGGATTCAGTGAGACTGAGAAATGACAACAGAACATGCTTCGGGTAAAAGAGTTTATACCCGGCTTTATTCTCCTGGTTATAGGTCAAGCACTAGAATCCGGCCTGCACCCAGCAGTCTGCAGGTCTCTGATCGTCCTTGTCTCTGCCTGGCCCAGAGCACTGGGAGAAGCTCTCTATATAGTGACTCAAATTTTATTGTTGTTAACAACCATATGATCAATAAATATGAGAGATGCCCTCTAAAAAAAAAAGAAAAAACAAACAAACAAACAAAAATACTCATCTGCTGTAATTTTGATTTTACAAGCATGTTACGCTACCACCACCTGGTAACAGTTTACCCAAAGATAAGGTCCAGCATTGAGCAGGTGAAAAAACCGTTTCAAAGGTAGCATATGTGAAACTGAATACAGTAAGTGATGGCATGTGCAACAGTATAAGGAGCTATATTGTTTGGTGCATGAAAAACCTAGAGAATGTTAGTGATACCCAAGAGGAAAGGCGTTCCAAGGCAGAGCTGTCTTTGCCTGACTCAAGAGGACACTATTGGTTTTTCCATTTGCCCAACCAATCAGATTTTCTTCCCTTTACTTTGGTCTCCTACCTCTTATTTATCAAAAATCTTATTATTGTTCTTGCTCTCCGAGAAACAGAAGCAATTCAGGTTAAGATGCCCCGACAACGACAACCAGGGCCAATGTCATCACCCACCACAGATTCTAGATATTCACCATGATGCCTGAAATCCCCGCTACTCACCAAGGTTGTACCACATGTCTCGGATTTCGAAACCAATCTGTCTCCTCATATCTCCATACCTGAAAACCAGGGAAAGGAAAAACACTGAGTGACTCTGCAGAGCATTTGAAAATCAGACTTGGATTATTTTTAAGTGCAATTAAAGTCTCCCATTGTTGAGACAAATAAATACAGTCTCAAAGCTTCCACTTCTTTTTCTAACCAAAAGGTATCGAAGGAGGAAGAATCCAGCCCGAGGGATTCTCTCTTCATCACTACAGATTATGTAACATCCTTTCCTCTGTGGAAGCATAAGGGAAGATGGTAGAGAATAATGAAAGTATTTTTCTTTCTTCAATCTCTAATAACAAGGGAAAGAGAACCTGGCTCTTTGGCCTAAGGGGGAGATTGTTTCCAGGCATGTTTGTTAGCATCGAGGCCCTGCAGACACAAAATGATACCTTACAACCCTGCTCAAAATAAGCAGTTTTCTCATGTTAAAATTAAGCCCTAGAGTCCACAGTCATAGCAGGGCAGGCTCTTCCACGTATCTCCCATTCCTCTTCAGCATTTTCAATGGCTTAATGCAAGAAGATGTCAACCAATATTCCCCTATTTTTGTTTTTTATTTTTTATCAGCGAAAATAAATGCTAATTTTCCTCCCACTGGGTCAGCAGAGGAGGTGTGTGTTTCGTGAGTAAACAAAATTTGATGCTTCAGAAGATAAACTTTTATTAGTTTGTGAGCAATTTAACTTTTTCCTTTATTGCCTAAGGAAAAAGCTGATTATATTAAAAATAATAATTTGCAAAATTATCCTACAGGATTATAGTTTAGCAGCTGTGGCATCAAGCCTGCTCCATTCGTCCTCATGTCAGCTGATGTGGAAAGGAAATCTCTGATTACAGACAACTGAGTAGCACCTCTTAGAGCAAAGATCCTGGCTGATAAGTCAATCACCACAGCCACTACCACTTTATAAAAGTCTCCAGTGTCCTAATTACCTGTCTGTCACTTATGGCAGGAAAGGGCTATAATCTCTGATCCTCTCAACCAGAGAAGATGAAACCCACCTCGCAGGCTCCCTCCCAGAAGTTAACCTTGGGGACACCACTGCTGTACAGGTGTCACAGCCCACAACCTGAGAGAGACCGAAAGGGGAGTATGAGCCCGTTCCTAGGAGGACAAACTAGCCCCCTGAGGTAATGTATTACCTTCAGCCCAGCCCAGCCCACCGACCAGTGGAGGCTGACACAGTAAATTCAGTGAGTGGGAAGGGGATCTCAGGCATGGAAGGCACCCACCACGAATCCCAGAGGGGAGAGGCTGCCCACCCTCAGTGGAAACTCACCAGCAGCAGAGCTGCAGGATCCGAGTTTGTTGGTGACAGGAGAGGACCCTCCAATGTCCAACCGCACCCCAGACTGCCCAAGGTGTACACGATCAGAGAACCATCAAGTCAGGCATCTTTACGCGGCCTGTAGATCTTGTTCCCTAATTTCCATTCTACTCTGCAAATGACGAAGTGGTTCCAGCAGCTGCTGCTGCCCAGGCCTGGAGAGGATGCGGTTGGCTGGCTGTGTGGTGACCCAGGAGACTGGCATCTTCTCACATTTACCAGGGGACAACGATCGTGGGGGGTAAACCGTGCTTCCTCCCACTGGTGAGGCTCTCCTGAGTGGGGGGATGAGGTGCCTCTCAGAGGAGTGGGTGTCGGGTGTGGTGGGGAACAGACCATCACTGGGAAGACCAGAGAACGCCAACACCCCCAGGCCCTGCCAATGTGTGCTCCCACCTCAGCACACCAGGGTGGCCAGTGACCTGAAGTCAACTGACTCAAGCTTTGAATACTCTCCCAACAACCAACTGATTCCTTCTCATTCCAGGATAACATCTGGGAAAAAAATAAGAATGGCTGACCCTGGGTAGTTTGGGTCATTCAGGAGTGACCCAGTGCCTCATGACCTGCAGTGATTTGCCATTTCCCCAGAGCTGGAGTTGACTCCTGGACGCAAGGACACCCACATGGAGGGGTGAGCCAGGCTCTCACCATTCAGCCCCCTCCCCACCCCTTGAGGTGCAGATGGAGGGTGAGGGCCTCTGCGTGTCTGATTTCCATCTTTCACGTACACTTTCCTGTCTTGTATCTGGAAAACAACATGCCTTTGCAGCATGTGGGAACGGGAGGTTCCACAGCTCTGAAAGCACGTTCCTCATAGGAATCAGGCCTATTGGATAAAGGTGCTAAAATGCTGTTTTCATAGTCAAATAAGACAAAGGTGCTCCGGGGCCTGAACAGAGGTAAAAAGAGAAGGAGCTACAAGGTAAAGTGCAAGACCGACTATCCCTGCTTGAGAGACTGATCTTTCCTTTAGTTGTAATAAAAAGGCAGCTTTGATGAATCTACAACACATCTCAGAGTAATCCCCACATAGAATTACAGCTGGCACCAGAGCTCAGGAGGGACTCCCTGACCATGTGCACCTTTTTCCTGAGGAGGAAAATGGAAGCAATAATGGAGAATGTGTGGGCTAATGCTCATTATCTGGAAACAGAATTCCAGGCCTGGTGGAAACCTCAGACGTCATAACAAAATTCATCTCTACTGATGTATAGTTGAGGGAACTGAACTAGTCCTAGAAGCTAAAAAGAGGACTTGGCTGAGGTCACAGGCAAGGAGACAAGAGATGCCAAGTCTTCAGACTCCAGAACCTGAGTTCTGCCCCCTCGAGGGCACACCTGAGGACCGGCAGGTGTGCACGTCTGTGATGTCACAGCACAGCATTGCGTGACATCTCCCCAAGAGCACTTGTTTCATTTGAATCTGGCCGTAAGACTATGAGTTGAGCATGAAGACCTCGTCGTAGCCTTCTTTCCACTGAAGAAGCAGAGATTCCTGGTGGGGAACCGAGGTGCCCGGCTTCACAGAACCAGAGCAGCATGGGGCAGTTACGTGGTACTTCCCACATTCCCAGCTCGCCCTGCCCACCTGGAAGGTGAAAGAGCTCCGTCAAACTTGAAGGGGGCCCCCAGGAGGCAGCCTTTCCGCAGCCCAAGCAGATCAAAGATCTCACACCCAGTTCTGTAACTAAGACCTAAAATGGAGTGAATCTGGTCTCTGAGGCCTTATCTCAGTACCTGGTTCCTTCACCCCAAGAAGCAGAAAACCCATGTCCACCAGAGACAGCCCAGGCTTGGGGGTAAGGCTTACCAGAGCCCAAATCTAAGTACACTGGGCAAGTTATCTGGCCTCTCTGACCCTCAGTCTCTTCATCTATAGTACTGGGGTAATGACGCATGATTGCGTGGTGCTTGTCTCCCAGGCTCTTTGAGAATGAAAGGGATGATGCCCCCACCTGTCCTAGCGGGCACTCAACCCAGGCTAAGTCCTTCCTTAGGAGGCTCAGACTAGGGCTCATCACAGCATCCCCCTCATGTCTGCAGGGGTCATTTAGATGGATTCGTTCAGTGGGCATTATTCATTGATTTGTTAATTAGTGAATACTTACTGGAGGCTAGGCATAGAGATAATATGGGAATATTAATATTAATGTGGAGAAGAGACAAGATCCACAGGTCTTGCGGGCCTATCAGTGTGACATTAGAGATGGACAATAAACAAATAATCACACAAGATGCACACATATATGTGCATACTGTACTTTTATGAAGGCTGTGGTGATGGCTCTTTAGGAAAAACAGGAAGAGAGAAAAGATTTAGCAGTGGATCCAGGCTGGCTGTGGTCGTTCTTGGGGAGAGTAACATTTGTCCTAAGATTTGCAGAAGGTGAGTATGGACCAAAGCAGGCAGTGTGCCTGGAAGACAGAGAGCCTGCTCCTTCCCCTTAAAAATGCAAGGGAGATGTGCTGTGAACAAAGCTGCAGAGACAGGTTTTTTAAAGTACTTTTTTAGGTTTCAAAAACTTTTGAAGAAAAACATTTTGTTTTACTAAGCACTTCCTGTGCATTTTTCCACTTGTATGCACATAAATAAACATGTACACATTTTTTAATGAAATAATACTTAACCTTACTAGCTTCAGTAAACTGATGCTTTCTTACACTCACACTAGGACACAAAGTTTCTTACAAACTGTAATGGTCAACCAGGCTGCTAATCAAAAGTCAGCACTTCTACATATGACTCCTAGGTCTTGGGCCCCAATAACGTGAAAGCCTAGGGTGGAGATGGAGAGAAGTAATGGTCAGGATAAACATGCCATTGACATCTCTGTCCTCCGTGGAGAGTCACCAGCACCAAGGATGCCTCAAGTCTGAGTCAGTTAAATTTTCGTACTATGGACTTTGATTCCTAGTGGTTATTTATTTTATTGCTCATTAGCAAATCTTATACTCATTTTGCATCTGACCTAATCAGTGCTCGGAATGGTAGAACCTATTCTTTTGTGTTACTCCCATGCACTTTGGGAAATGTCTTTGGAATGAGTATCTTAATTAGCTCCCCAACCTAGGTCATCAGAAGGGCGAAGAGCTTAACAGGAGGACATAAACAGGCAGATCTTCTGATACTGGAACTTTCTATTGTTTTGAGCCACAATAATGTCAGCCAGGCAGACATAAGGAGCTGCAGGGCAGGCAGAGAGGAAGACAGGGCCAGGCACGGCGTGAGGGGGACGCTGGAGGTGGAGTTCCACGGTGAAGCCCTTACTCAGGTGCACTTAGTGGGATTCTGGAACCCTAAAGCAGTGAATGGGCCCCAAGAGACAAGCAGGGGCTCCTGCGTGGGCATAGAACCACCCCACTTTCACATCCTATGAGCTTTCCCTCTAGAAAAAAACACAGAACTATACCAGCTGTGCTTTCAGTCAGCACCCAGGCATTTGCTCAGACCATGGGATCACTGCCCATAGCACTGGGCTTCACACCCTGCCCCAAGCCCTCCAGGCCCAGCTACTCACTTGAACTTCAACAACACAGCACATCTCTGCGTTTAGAGTGGGCCAGCCCCTTTGGGACTCAATGTCCCCTTTTGGGACTGGATGTTTGTTGACACTGGGCTCGGACAGTCAACCTCACACACTGCTCCTCCTCCTCCGCCCCCCAACCTGGAAGTCCACCCTCTCGGAGGCCTCTGGCTCCCTTCTGGCTGGTCCCCTGGGGAACCAGTTAGGGCCATCAGCTGCCAGGGCACCAGTGAGCACTTACCCTCTGTCCTGCCTGAAGGGTTCAGCCCCGGGCAAGTTCACTACGGATTCAGTGAGACTGAGAAATGACAACAGAACATGCTTCGGGTAAAAGAGTTTATACCCGGCTTTATTCTCCTGGTTATAGGTCAAGCACTAGAATCCGGCCTGCACCCAGCAGTCTGCAGGTCTCTGATCGTCCTTGTCTCTGCCTGGCCCAGAGCACTGGGAGAAGCTCTCTATATAGTGACTCAGTCAATAATAGCTTATTGCCTACAGGCATGGAAGCAGTAGCCTAGCAGCAGGCCAGTTACATCGTCAAGCAGTTTAGATCCTGGCTGCAGGAACTTCCACTTTCCCCACACCCTCCAACTGTTACTATGTTTGCATATCTACCTCCCCCCAGACTGGGAGCTTCTTATCTCTGGGTCCCTAGCACCAGGGCTCTGGCCTGACTGAGCAATGAGCAGGCACTCAATCCATTTTTACTAGCGCAATTTTAAGCAAATCAAAACATTTATAGGCACTGGGTGTGTCTAGAAAATTTAAGCATTTGGGGAGGACATTTTCAGATATTTCTTATGCAGTTTTGCTATTTAGAAATAAAGCTGCACATTGACTATAACATGTCTGTGGTATAGCAGGAGGCGTGAAGACAACAACATACAAGGTGGACTGCCATACGTTAGCCACACAGTCTCACAAGTCTCAGAGGACACTTTCTGCTCGGTCACCTGTCCTGGCCACACACTAAGTCTGTGCCCCCGGAACAGGCCCCTCAGACTACACACGGGGGGAGGCTGCCCTGCCAGAGCCTTGTCAAGACAACTTCTAACATGCTTGGGGTTTTCCCTTGGGGAATCCATGAGAAAATTTCAAAAGGAAAATCCAGTCTCTTATCACCACGGTTGTGAGAGACAGAATACAAAGAGCCCACTTCAGAAGCCCGGCGGGATCTGGAAGGGAGACACCAGCTGGCCATGCTTAATTTTCCTTGGCTCTGAAGCCTCTGAACCCACATGGCTATGTGGGAGCAAAAGTCTTCTTTGGCGGCAAAGGCCCTGTGTGGTTAATGCATTTATTGATGCTCCTTAAGCTTGGACTGCTAACAGGCCAACAAGAGAAAGAACCCGGGGCACAGCTTGCCCGCCCTGGCCTGGAGATGCTCAGCCTCAAATTGTTTTACTCTGAAAACCGTGAGGGAGATGCCAGTTTTTTCAAGGCAGATTTCTGGTTTAAATTCACTTTTCCCACAAGCAAATCTAAGGGTTGGATGGCCACATGCTGGGCAAAGAACGGGTTCTGCCGTTAGCTGGAGCAGGGCTGGATGTCAACCTCACTCCAGTGAGCCCTGCACACACGTGGGCAGATGAATCCACCTGCTGTGGATGGGGTCGGTCTCCTGCAGGACGGGTAACCAGGGGGCTGCGTTTCCAGGCTAGCTGTGGATGAGCGGTGCTGAGTTCTCAGAATGTGCTGGTTAACACCGTTTCACTACAACAGTTCCCATCATGAGAGCATTTAAACAAGGACAGCACCAGCCATGAGTAGCCACCCTGAATTTCACCCAAGGGATGTAAATTTGGCCAAGTGGAGGAACCCCTGTTGAGCCAGTACCAAGAAAGTGCCCGAGGAAGTCTGTCTGGAGCAAAGGCTAGTGATAAACCCCGTGGTGGCTCCAAGGAGGCAGGCCACTTGCTGCACACCTTCCCAGCAGGTAGCAATGGGCACCCACTTTGCCAACCCATCCTGATACATTCCATTTTTCCAAATTGTGAACACGTATCTGTAGTAATGGCCAACAGACTGGAGTCACTCAGCTGGGGAAGCCGGAAGGAAAGAGGTCAGGTGAGGGCTGACTTTCATGTAGATGACACAGAGGAAAGCAGTTAAGGTTCTAAAAGCAGCCCAGCTGAAACCCTTGGGCTCTGTACCGCCTGGATGAGAATGCCTGGGTGTGTGACACGGGCCACACAACTTGTTCACAGGGCTCCACCTTCCTCCTCTGGCAAACAAGGATAATAAGACAACCAAATGAATTGTTTCATTTTGGTTTTAATGATTCTAGGTGAAAAATGCACAGGACGTGCTTAGAAGTTGCTGGCACATGGTACATGTTCAAATATTTGCTGAAACAAGTCTTAGTCTCCAGGGATAATGTGCTTCCAGTGCGGCCTGCACGTGAGCTAGACACTCACAGAATACAAGAAGGGCTGAGCAGCTGCCACCTTCTGAGACGCTCTCTGGAATCTCTAACCTCAGTGAGTGGCACAAGCCTGGCAAAGCCTTGGAACAGACGACTGATTACAGAGGTATGACGAAAAGACAAGCAGGGACCGATGACTGGGCAACCGAGCAGTTGGAGAACTCGGGCAAGAGTGCCTCTGAATAGGGCACTCAGAGAGAGATCAGTGAGACTGGCAGAAGAGAGGAGGCAAGACCCTCGGGGCACCTAAAGACTGGAAGGAAACCTAGGCAAGAGCTCTTTTCTTTCACTGGACCTGGAGCAGTGCAGCAGGCAGAGCCGAGGGAGCCGGGCCCTGAGTGCCTCCTGCAGCTTACCTCGGAGGAAACCCTCCTCGGAGCAGCTCTTGCAGCGAACAGGAGAACGCCATGTGGAATGACCCCAGAATGGGGCACAGCAAAAGCAATTATCTCCCCAAACACCCATTCTGTGGGGTGCTAATGGTCTTGAAGTACACCAACTTTGAAACCACCAGAATGAATCCTGCAATTTCAGATCTTGATTCATGGGTTAGAAAAGGCAATCCCGGATTCATGATTCGAGACCACCCTTTCAATACACCGTGATTACATCTCAATTTGTACCAAGTTGGCTTAGAGACTGCCGGTAAATTATGCTAATAGAGTTGCAGGCACCTGCCTGTAATTTTGGGGCTGGACTAAGACTTACTTGTTAAGGATTTTGGCTCTCTTAGCACTTGAAAAATTCTCCAGTTGCAAGGACTCTTGTGTGAGAAAAGCCACAGCCAGGTGAAAGTAGTTGTTCCACAGCTGAAACCAAAAAGGGAGACAGTCTCAGGCGTCGGGTGGTCGGACATTCGGTCTCAGCAACACTCGGACGCATTTCTCATGTGCCCAGCACACATTCCCAGAATGTCTGAAAAACCACCACACTCCAAGTACAAACTGCTGACCAGCCTGCCTGCGGACTGGCTCAGGACGGAGCGTGGGCTCTGAGCTCCCCGCACACGTGCCCAAGCCCCAGCTCTGCCACTTCTCAGGCAACTAACCTAACCACGTGCCGCGGTGCCCTCGGAGGTAAAAGGGGAATTTCATTAGTACCGACTTCACAGTATTGCTGGGGATCAAATGAACAACCACACTCAGACTTTCCAGCGGTGCTGCGTGTGTGGATAAGCATGAACTGAATGCTGCCTGCCTCTTTCTCTTCCTGCATTGCGGAGCCCCTTACTAAAGAGTCTAGGTATCTTTAAGATTTATTATTTTGTCTGATACTAAAAACATATATAAAGGCTAGACAATGAAGGAGAACAGTTGTACAACTAACAAACATTTTATATTTCAAGGATTTACAGACTCTACATGGCTTAAAAGGCAGTTTACTATGAAACAATCTTGTCGTCAAGCTCGGCCCATGGCAGCTCTGTGTATCTGGACAGTAACATGGACATGCAGCTAGAGAAGCATTTTTCAACAAAACATGTTATGCCGAGTAGGTTCCCAAAGGACAGATACTCCCTGGTCATGGTCGTGTTTGAGACCAGGTCAAGACAACGAAAATGAAGGAAGACCTCTTGGCTCCAAGTGGGGATGTTTTGCTGGCTTGTGGGGGCTCCACAAATGGCACTGCTGTGGCAGGAAACCTGGGACTCCCTTTGGGCTCTGTTCTTTCCTGCTTCCTATCAATCAGCAATGAAATACCTTCCAAATCCAGCCACTTGCCCTGCCCTGGGGCTGCAGCCCTGTCTGGGTCAGCAGCCTCTCCTCCCAGCCCAAGACAGCCTGCTTCTGGTCTCTGGCCTCCTCCCTCCCAAACCCCCAGTTCACAGTGCAGCCAGAGGGCGCTGGCCCCAAAAGAAGGGGCCACACCACAGCGTGACTCCCCTCAAGAATGCCCCATCCCCTCTGACACTGCAGGTGAGATGCCTGCCTCCCCTGGCACAGCCTTTCCACCCACCCTCTGCACCCGGCCTTCCCATCAGTGCCTTGAACTGATGCTCAACCTGCCCGTGGGCCTTTGCAGAAGGATGCTGTCCCCGTCACCGAGTCATGGCACACCTGAGCCAGCTGTGCTCACCCTGACAGAACCTCGGTCTGTCCCTACCTACAGTGACACTCGGTCACCCTCCCAGTGCATTGTTGGCCTGCCTTAATCGGCCCCTCTACGCCCCACGATGCAGTGGGGTGGGGAGGGACCCCGTGTCTGGCATGAGCCTGGCACAGCGTGAGCAATCCACCAATAATAATCAATCATGGAGGGAGGAACCTATGGGGATTTATCAAATGCAATGTTAAAATCTGTGGACATTTCTGGCCAACTGGAAGGCAGTGCTGAGCACTTCACAGAGGCCACCGAGATGGGAAGCAGATTCTGAGTCTCTGTGGCATCCCCAGACCATCTGAGTAAACCAATAAAATTGTAACTTTTATTGTTAATTAGTCTTGCTGTCTACCACAATTACTATTACACAAGTTACCAAGTGATAGGAAAGAGTCTCAATTAAGAAGAAAAAAACAGGTGTGGCCATTTCCCTACTGGAAAGGTAAACGGAATCTCTGAGAACGTAAGAACCAAGGCCGTGCGAGGGCGGAAGCAGCTAGACGCAGGCGCTACTTTGAGAGACCAAGCAGGTAAGAAAGGAGATACACTCCCTGTGCGGTGACGGTGCGTGTCACCCAGGACAAAGGGCAAGGGAGTGCAAGCACATTGAGAGTGGGCATTCTGTTTCACCGGGACAGAAAGGCAAGGCTTCCAAACACATGTTGGTAATAGCTATTCTTGGGGGAGAAGTCACATGAGCTCAGTCAGTGCACTGTAACACCAAACACACCTCTGTGGACCTCTTCTCGGGGTCACTTTCACCTGATCCTGCTGCCAAGGGGCAGCACCGATGGCTTGGAGCAGGGCAGGGGACAGAGACAAGTGGGCGACAACCCCCTAGGAGCTGCACCGAGGGGCGTGAGTCGGTCCTTTACAGACACTCCTCAACTGCTCGTTCTGGGACCAGGGGACATTTTGGGGGAACTTCTGCTGCTCCCAGTGGGAAAGAGACTCGATAGAGTTTCCACCACACATCCCAGCTTGACGACACCTTCAAAGTTCTTTAGAGGAAAGTTGTGGGTCTTGGTTTTCTCGTGTACAAAGCAGTGATAATGTTCATTACATCCAATGAGATAGTGGCAGAGTTACATAAAAATCAGGTGTTAACCGTAGTGATCTGTGAAGTATAAGTGGAAATTTTCAAGCGTGGATGTAAGTCAGAGTGTGCTGGGCTTCCGTTTATCCAATAGTTCATGACCTGGGCAGCCCCACTGGTGATAGAGCAGCTCATGTGCATGCCGCAGGCCAAACCAGGTACGTGCTGTGCTCCCAGGTGAGGCAGATGCAGGGTCTTCCTTTGGGCCTCCCTGACCGAGGGCCACACTCTTTCACATCCCTCCGAGACGTCTCTTTTAACCCCTTTTATGGTAAAAGCCTGGCTTGGGTTATCTAATACCAGCTGCTGCTTCTGCTTTTGGAACTGACACCTCGCAGCAGGGCCGCCTGACTCCCGGCAAGGCCCTCTTTGCGGCAGCACTGGTCAGAAGCACTGGCCACTTCTGGGTGCATCCTGAGATTCACAGGCACACAGCCAGAGCAGGCTCCAGAATGAATTTTACTGTGTCCCTGCTGCCTACAAAAAACATCAACCGTAGCCTGAATGCCAGCATCACCAACGCCCTCTTCCTTCTCTTTGGTCACAGGACAGGATGCTGAGCCAGACATCTAAGCACCTGGCCCTGAGAGACAGCAGTGGGAACACTGTGCCCAAATGCCCCGAGGCCCTGCCCACCTGGAGACTGCACTCCTAGCTGGACAGCGGGAGCGTAAGGGTGGGGAGGGGTCCCTCATATTTTGCCCAATGTGCTAATTTACAGTGTGTGTTTTATAGTGAGAATGTATCTGTATTTGAGGACATGTGAGAATAAGCATTAAGCAGAAAAAATGATAGGAAGTTAAAACTTGAGAAAAGATAATATTTATAGAAATATAGTACCTGATATATTATTACATACTTATATTCTATAATGCTGATAGACATTTAAAATTTTTTAAATACGGGTATAGTCACCTCAGAACTTTAATGTGAGTATCACACTACCTCTGAATTTTCGGAAGACAATGCAAAAGGGGAACTGGAAGGACATCTAATTTCTGTCAGCTGGTAACACTTTTGAGCTGGATCACCCATTGTGTATACATAAGTCCTTCAAGTTCCTTCTCAGTGAACAGTCTTGCCCAGGAAACTCACATGCCATTTGTATCTGGGGACGATTTATTTGCAAACTTCAGGAAACAAAACTAAGTCATAATGATGACAAAATCATTATTAGCAGAAATACATATCCAGACTGTAATGGAACTAGGACACACACACACGGTCTCTCTCTCTCTCTCTCTCTCTCTCTCTCTCTCTCTCTCTCTCTCTGCAAGCCCTGAGGAGCAGGCTGAAGCTGATGATCAGCTGACCAGAGTTGCACGTGGTAAAGGCCACTGCAGGGGACACAAAGCCAGGAGAAGTCAGCAGCAGGGGAAAACCGAGTTCTCAAAGCAAGCTGATCTCAGCGATGTACACGTGCTCCGTCTCCTCTGCTGGTCGCTTCCTCCCCACATTAGGATAATCTGAGACAATCTTGGCAGCCACACCAACTGAGACGCAGTGACCTCCCTGCTCAAAGTCCCAACTTGTCACTCTGATTCAATATTCTCTCTCTAAAACAACTCATCTCCTTCTTTGCTAAATCCAAGAAATACTCCAAAGGCATCATTTTCAGTCCTCAGCTACCAATAATAGGACATATGGTGAATTCCATTTCCACACCTTGGATGGGAAACCAATTAAGTTTGAAGATTAGAAATATAAGATACTGGCTCAGACCAGCACTTTACTTTACCACGATTTCCCAACAAAGGTCCTATCTACTTCTTCTCTTACCTGTAGCTCAAAGCTGGCTTGATCCAGAAATTTTTTGTTCAGCATATCTGCATACTGATTAATTGCTCGCAGGAAGACTCTGAAAGATCAACAGAAAATTACATAATTACACACTTAGGCTCCGACACCTTTGTGGATTTGGCATTTCAATTAGATGCAACCCCAGACTGTCTGGAAAGTGAACTCTCTAAATCCTGTGAAAAGGTGTGAGGTTTTGCCAATGAAAAATCCCAGAGAATTCTATGCTCCTGTTCTCCAGATTAATCAAGGAAATCAGCACATGCAAAATGAAAGAAACAGCAAAATAAAACATCTGAAAGTAATATACGAGAAGTTATCGCTAAAAAATCCAATTTAAAAAAAGGAAAAGGTGCAAATTAAATCCTTTTCTCAAGTCACAGTGTTTTAGTGTTACATTATTAAGTTGGTCTTTGCTTAGCTGGCTTTTTAAAGTTAAGTATTTGAAAGTGTATAACACCTATCAGGCTTGAAACGGTTTGGTGAGATACTACTTTGCTTGAAAGTACGGCTTACTTCAGTATCATTCATCATGTACTCCAAATGCGAGTTTTGGTAACTGTTTACTTGCTTAAAGAAAATTAGAAAGCTTGAGTAGATACGTGACTTGACCAAGAATCTTAGCAGGAATTGGTAAGCACCCAAAGCAAAATACCACATCCCTAGATACCCTGACTTCTCCTTTTCTGTCATGAAGGAGCCCAAAGTAGGAAGCCTTTCGTAAGCTTGTTCATTCAGTAGATTTGTTTGATTACCCTTGAGAGTGTCACAATAGTAAAGCTTAACTCAAGATACTTCTTTTTAAATGACCCTCTCCGTTGGCACAAAGGCAGGATGCAAGAAGAATTAAGCATTAGGTCACAGATAATAAACTTAATTACACTCCCTCTATTTAGACAGCAGGAAGCAGCTGTAGGTTACTACAGGCTCGTTAGCCTGGGAGGAGAGAGAGGGTATCTCCTCTAGGGGCTCTTCACCACCTCCCACCACTTCCCCGCCCAATACTCACTGACTCTACAGCCTCTCTCCTACTGGTACCCGTAGGTACTTGGCAGCTCTTAGAAAGGGGACTTGCCTGCATCATTTCATGAAGAAACCTGTCAGTTGGATCCAGGACCAAAACACGTGATAAATGGCCTGTGGTGGAATGTGCAAGGTAGCAGCACATTCCTACCCTGTCACTGCGGAAAACTATAGGCAGTGTCATCTGAATTCCTCCCTGAGGACATGGAATACGACAAGAAAGGAGGAACTAGTGTTTTAAGTGATCATTACTGGAGGGCTGCAGGGATCCTGGCCTCGTACACTAGCCAGGCCGAGCAGCAGCATCCATCAGCCAGAGGGTTGCCAGGTTTTGCCACTCGAAGATACCCAGTGAAATGAGAAAAATAGCTCTACTGGCTGAATTTGGTAATTAAGTGAAAAAAAGCTGAATACTGGGCATTTAGAGCATCCTGACAAATCAGTACAGCACCAGGACAAAAGTCACTGAATTCAGGGTATGCCTTGTACCTATGGGACACCTGGCAACTCCAGTGAGTCCTCCAGTCTCGGGCTGGGGACCCAGGTCACGTTCGGCCCTCAGAAGCATGAGATGCCTGGCTAACAGGTAAGCTGGCCTGCCTTCCCCATCGGGCCCCGGGCGGCTGTGTTCAGACAGCATCTGAGAATGGGCATCGGATTAAGTTGAGCAACCTGAGAAAGTCCGCCAAGTGTTGGTGCAACAGGACAGGTTCCCATCATGTGGGGCTGGGCTCTCGGGCAGCACAAAAACTGGGCTTATGGCCACTAACAATTTTTTCCCTCAGTTTTAATACTCAGCTATTCACTAGAGAAACCTAGGGTCCTTGTGAGTTTAGGAAGACCCTCTTGCCAGCCGTAGTCTATGACAACGGTGGTAAGTTTACTAGAACACACATCGTTACTACGTGGTAACTATTCTGCTTAAAGAGAGCACCCAAGCAGTTACAATATGCTTCTAATTAAGCTCTGGAACCATTTCAGCTAGTTAAATAAAGATATTTCTCACAATGACTTAAAATGCTGAAATAAGATGAAGGCTGAACAAAAACTTTTTAATGAACTGACAACTGAGAGAGTGACCCTGAGAGATTCTACAATTTAGATGCGCCATAAATTTTTTAAAAAGCCAGGACAACAGTAAAATAATGGAGAATGCAAATCGTATGAGGTAAACTGCAGGGAAGATCAAATAAACACCGTAATCAGTGCAGCCAAGGAAGGTGAGCGGCTCGGGCTCAGCGGGCCAAGGGCCGCAGCACTGCCCCAGAACCACCCGGGTCACATGATACCTACAGGTCACCCGTGATGGAACTGAACAGTCAGCAGTGCCCCAAGTCCAGGTGACAATAAGTCAGTTCTCTAACTAGGCAAAAAGATACAGAAGCAGAGGCTAACTTTTAGGCGTGAATATCTGATTTGCTGTAATTTCTGAGTTATTGCTAATAAATGTCAAGCTAGGGAAAATAAATCAGAAAACTACATTAGAAGCTTTTGCATGACAATCTGCTTTCAGTGACTGAGGAACATGAAAAGGGTCACAAGGCAATCAACTGGACAGCAGGACGCCTTATTAGTCTCAAAGGGAGTCTTCAGACTGGCTGGACCCACCCAGCTCAGGGGGCCCTGAGAAGGAGGACGAGGTGTGAGTGGGCTGGCCCCTGCATCCCTGTGACTTGGGGCTGGGCGCTGCTGGAGCTGGGGTCCAGGGCAGGGAAGCCCTCCAGGCTGTTCCCAAAAGGTCCTGTCTGCCACCCACCCATGAGCTCGCAATGCCGAGTCAGCACGTGGCATGTCATCACTCATCGGTCATAGGAATGAATGAACATATGACAGCTGGGTAGATGAGTGATGGACGACTGGCTCAGAGGTCAGGCTGTACCCCAAATCAGACTCTCAGGGAGGCTAGAGGATTTGTGAGCCCCTGGCTCTCCCCGAAGTCCTTGCATTCTGCGCAGATTATCCACAGGGGAGGGTGGAACTCTTTGGAGACTTTTGTTGACTCAATTTCTCATTCGGCCCTTGGCATTAATAGCCGGGCCCTGCTCTCTCATTCAGCTCTCCACCTTCGGGGCTCACTCCTTGATGGCAGGAACCTCGGTGTCTGAAAGGGCCCCTCAGCATTACCAATGATTCCGAGTGTCCCAATCTAAGAACTGTCAGTTTCTACCCCACTAACTAACGGGTGTCTCAGAGCTGGTAGCGTGTCCAGGACATTCCACCCCCCACAAACCACCAACCAACCAACACACCATAAACTGCCCACGCGGGAGGATCCACCCTCTGGCCTTCCGAGCTTCTCTTTATTCTCCCCACTGAGCGTTATTTTACATAATCATCAGGACACAAAGAAGAGAGGTCATGGATAATGTGCATAATGTTCCCAGGTCCAAGCGGGATGCTGGCAGGGGACAGAGAGGGGGATGCTGGCAGGGATGCTGGGCAGGGGGACAGTACACACAGGCCAGGTGCTGCTTCTACTCTGCAGAAAATTGAGGGCCTGGGGGTGAGGGGATGTATCACCCTGTGATCCTAACAAGTTACGCCTTCTTCCCAGCTAGGAGAATTAGGTCATTTCTAAAAAACAAAACTGATGGTGTGAGAATTAAATGCTTTCATGGATGCTGTCCCACATGGCCAAAATGATTAAGAAAAAGGATGAGCCCCTTCCTATGCAATAGAGTTCTTTTCAATCATTTTAAATCTTTGAATGGCTTTATTTATAATCTAAATAAATAATGTAGAGAGAACCACAGGCAACAGGCAAATTATGTCACCCTAAAGAAGACTCAAGAAGCCATAAGGTCTGGATACATCGTCTCTAAAACATTCAATGATTCCAGGCAAATGGCTACAAATTTCATTTTCCATGGCCTCGAAGAAAGAAAGAACTTTATCTTACTTTTCTTGATAACTGATTCCTCCAGGAAGTCAGTCATCTCCTTATCAATCCATCATATTTTAAATAATTTGGGGCCTATGAGAGGTACAGAGAGTTCATTCTCAAAGCTCATACAATTAAAACAAACAGAAAAGAGTTAGGTCTCCTAATTTCCTTCTCTTCTGTGCGGACAGTCAGCCACAGCGAGCATCACCAGAAAGAAACTGCCATATATAGTTCCTGACAGTGTGACATACGAGTTTGTGTCTCCACACACACACATCCAATTATAGTCTCAACCCAATTCTTTCTATCCATCGTCTATTCACCTTTCATCTACCTCTTAATCTATAAACTACCTCCCTATCTATCTTTTCTCATCCATGCAAACCTTTAGCTACCTGACCTTCAGAAAGTCGCTCAAGTTTCCGAGCTGCTCCCATTTTTAACCAACAAAGGAAACTACTAAACAACGGGTCCTCTGAGTTACCTTGAACTTTGAATCTAAGAGTTTGGGTTTTTGCAAGTTTGAGACTACGGGGTAAGAAAGAGCTTTTTAGGTAAGAAAGTCATTTTAACACTATGATATCCATAGAGGCTTTATAAAACGTTAAGTAGCACTTGGAAAAAACAGCACACCTTCCCTACGACTCCTATGCGTCGCCACATCTTTAGGAGACAGGCTGGGAGCGGTCAGGCAAAGTCCGCCTGCAGGAGGCACCTACTGAGTTCCAAGCCGCTCAACCACCAGTGCCCTACAGAGGAGGTCCCTCAGGCCTTCTTGGCCACAACCCTGCTCTGTCCTTGCACAGAAAGCGATGTGGATACGGCGTGGACTCCAACAAGGGATTGTCCTGAAAAGCTGCCTATTGGAAAGCAATACAAGCAAAAAAAGTCCAGGTCCTAAATAATTACGTGTTAAGTGAGTAGAGGGGAACTTAGCAAGTGGGACATAATCAGGGAGCAATTTTACTATTAGAAGCTCCTGGCACAATTATATTCACTAAACTGACTTTATTATGATGGAGCCCCGGGCACTTCTGGCATCCCTGTTACCCAGTGTTTCCTGCCAATAAAACTGGAAGATGAGGGGCCTCATTACTAGGGAGGGAAAACAGCAAGAAGGCACTGAACTTCCGGGGGAATGCAAAGCCCCATTT